ATCCTGTATTTTAGCCGAAACTTGCTATCAAACTGTTTGAGATTCCTTTGTGGAGGAAATCATTTATTTCATCCCTCAGGACACCTCTTGCTAGTCGAAAGAATATAAAAGTAGGTTTGAGAATCCTTCTACCGCATTTGAAAGGTATTTCTTTAGTAATAAATTATTTTGAGACGTAACTTCTTATCTAGATCTATTCTTCATGATAGGTATACATTAAGGTGGATGAATAAGTTTGAAAATTGTTATGAAAAGGGGTATGGAAAGTGCATACAACGAATAAATTAATTCTGCATTTTTCGTTTCTATATTCTACTAGCTGATCCGGCCACGCGTTGCTGTCATATTACATTCTTGTAAACTATTTAAGGGGAACGGTAGGAGAACATCAGATATGGGCACCACCATGCTTTTTTACATAGATGCCATTTGTAAAAAAACATGGCGACCTTCATGACTGATTTTCTACTACCGTTACCCCTTATTACAATGAAATTATTATTTACAAACGAAGACGGAAACGTTAAAGCTGGTATAAAAATTTACTGGTTTGGGATTTGAAGGGGAAGGACTTTGAACACAATGGATCAAAATTTTCGTACATCATCATCCGCCTATAATACCACATTTCGAAGGCTTCTAACCTTTTCTTTTCCGCCGCGCCCACTGTCCATGTTTCGCACCCGTTCAACGCCATGCTCCAAACATGCACCTTTAAAAACCTTTTTCGAATTTCTAATTTAACCGTTCGCGAGCATAGAAGTGACTTCTTTTTATTAAAGGCGACACGACCCTGCGCTATTCTCTGCTTTATATCCCTACTACTCCTTCCATCCTGACTTATCTGACTTCCTAGGTATCTAAAATCAGCCACTTCTTCTAATTTTTCGTCTAGTATTAGTAAATAGGTAATTGCATTTGACATTCGTGCTGCGATCTAACCATTTATTTAACCTTTTATTTAAAGTATGATAAAAAAAATATTCCTTTTTAGATTAATTTCACATTTTTGTTTTTGTTATAGTTCAAGTAAAACGCGTGCAAAAAATTTATTCCACAGATGACATACTCCTTGAAATGAAAACAAGGATGTTACGCTTGTGATAACGTCTGAATTGTTATTCTTTTGTTTCTTCCTTGTGGGAAAGTTCAAAACAGAGAATTACGACACATTCACATAGAACAGTCTACGGTCTGTGCAAATATTATGCTTCAATGGCACAATTCATAATACAGTTCGCGAGAAATTATTGAGCCTTTATCGAACGGGAATTCAATCTCTGACCTCTTATGATCGCAACTTCGAACAAACGTTCCCGATAATCCCGTCAAATGCATTTTAAGCCCACAACCGCCATCGACATTGGCAGAGCCATCGTTCTCATCGTCTCTATTCACCAATCAAAGTAAATTTCGCCCAATTCCAGCGTTTAATCGTCTTTCCGCCGGAACTCCGGTTGGCACGTACGCTTCTAATCACCATATTAAACAGCTCACTGCTAACCAGCATCCTGCAGAGTCTATTGATATATAGATTTATATATAGGGTGACATGGAATAAGATTGATAATAAACTGCTACTCATGCAAATGTATTGGCACCAGTCAAACTTAAGGAGCCTAGGCTATATGACGCTATACTTCATTTACTTTCTGTAGCGATGTGACCTTCAGTTTGACCGGCGCAAAGTAGAAAAGAACAGCACTAGGCCAGAAAAGAAAGGAGACAACTCTCGGCCAAACTCTTAACAGGTGAGGAGCGTATAATCCGTACAGTACTACACGGAAAAATTGACCATTTTATCCACTACAATTGCATTGCTCAAATGTGCTGTTATTGGTACCATTTACTACTGAAAATATCAACGAGATGTTTATTTATATTTGAAGACATATTAAAAGCTTTAACGCTTGTTTTCGACTCGCAATATTATTCATGATTGAACAAAACTTTTGACAGGTACTGTATGAAAAAGTATATTTAATGAACAAGAGTCGAGAGTATAATGAGCGTTTTTCTCCCTACCTACGATTTTGCCAGCGCGCATCCAAGACATTGGAAGGGGTACATCGCTAGAGAAAGTAAATGAAGTATAATAAGGGAAAAGACCATATAGCGTACCGTGAGTATATACCTAATTATGAATTTTTTAAAACGTTATAAAATAATTAATAGTTATTGACATAAAATCCAATAAAATGGATTCTTAAAAGTGAACGGGTTCCGAAAATGAACCTTGAGATGCTGCGAATATTATTTTCAATAGTTTACAGGCGTTAGATTTAAAAAATTATCAATTTGCAATATTATCTATATTAATGACAACCCGGTTTACACAAAAACTGCAAACTTGCAAAGGTAACTTCCTGCTACTACTACTATTATGGAGTTAACTCAATTATTTTTAAGGACGTTTAATTTTAATCAGGTACCTATGAATACTGCGTCGTCTATTCGCTTGGAAAAGTTTAAATATTGTAGTAAGGTCTTGTTTATCATATGAGATACTTCAATACAAGATGACCAGAATTGATCCTGGTTTTGCAGTATTGATATTGGTCTTGCGAAAATGTAAGACCAAGACGAAGACTAAGAGCAAGACTGTCTTTCTACTAGCTGGATCAAGACCAAGACCGAACGAGCAAGACCAAGACTAAAACCAAGACCGAATATGCAAAACCAAGACCAAATACACAAATCTAAATGAAAAAATATCACTTTCTGTGGAATAAAATAATTCGAAGTGGTCTGTATTCTGTCGAAACTGCCAGACGCGGATCGCGATTTCGATCTTTTTGGATCTCACCAGCGCGTAAACGCCATCTGTAGTACGATGCTACATTTTAGGATTACGTATGATCCAACAAGGTCCACTTGTGTGGATATCTACTTGCTGAAACGAATCCCGGCGTAGCTAACCTCAACGTGATAGGCACGTTACCATAATCGAATAAACGTAAAAGTTGGTCTGTGTTCTGTCGGAACTGTCTGTGACGTGCTGATGAGATCTGAAAAGACCGAAATCACGATCCGCGTCTGGCAGTTTCGACAGAATACAGACCACTTCGAATCATTTTATTCGATTATCGTAACGGGCCTATCACGTTGAGGTTAGCTACGCCGGGATTCGTTTCAGCAAGTAGATATCCGTATATTTAAATGAACCTTGTTGGAGCATACGTAATCCTAAAATGTAGCATCATACTACAGATGGAGTTTACCGCGCCATTTGTGGTATGTTCTAAAACACTTCCTGTGGATATATGATTTAAACTATTTGAAGTAACTTTAATATATACTTAGAACAAAACATTTTTTGTATTTGAAATTTTCAGTTTACATTACCAGATTTAAACTACTAATGTATGTGTCTCCACATTTATTTCTGTTTGAGAAAATCTTCTGTGGCTCCAAAAGTCGAGCGTCTTTCTTAGATTGTATTGTACTTTTGATAAATTAAGCGACCAACTGTAAACAGTGCTCTCATGAGAGAAGATAACTCAAAGTAGACTACAGGGTGCATTTTAAAATATAATATTAAGTTTCTGGCAGATAAATCGTCGTAATACTGATATTTGCTTGCTTGAAATATAGAGACAAACTAATTTTTCATCGATGTTTTTTACTTTCTTGAAGTACCTTCGACTATTTGGTTCACTAGAAGGTCAATTTATCCGTTAGAGGAAGGGTCAATTTATGTATTAGAAGGCAAGTTCTCAGATTTTCATAACATTCACAACTATCGACACTGTTTTCTTTAAAAGCCATGACACGCTCTAATGTATGACAGAAAATTTTAGCAATTATGGCAATTATTAAGTCGATAAATGAAAAAAGATGTGCTTAGAGACATTATTAAAGAAAACGTATGTATCAGATTAAATGATCAAAACCAAGACTTAACGCTCAAGACCAAGACGAAAACCGAGACTATATCAGCAGAACCAAGACTAAGACTAGAAGTATACGACCAAGACCAAGATCAAGACCGAATAAGCATGACCTAGACCTAAAGAAGACTGGGACAGGTTTTCTGGTTGCGTTGACTTAGAAGTTTGAGGTTTTCACAACTGCAAGAAATTGCAGACCTGAGTTGTTTCTGTTTCATGTTAATTTCAACTTGACACGTCCACGCATTCTTGAGAAGAACTGTCTTAACATGAGGACAGACAGATAAGGAAATGATCCTATTAGGGTTCCTCTCTTTCTTTTAAGGTACGGAACCCTACAAAATAATAATCCACAATTGTACCTTCACATTTAGGCGCTTTACCTATCCTAGCTAATTAGATAAAACAAAAAAAAATTATGCATCAGTCAAAAACTAACAGCGTGTACATTATAGATCGATTAAAACGTTACTTTTCTGTTTAAATCAAGTTAATGGAAAATAAAGCATCGTTCTTTCTTTTTTTATTATTTAAACAAAGGAAAGAAGATTCTTCTCCATTAATTATTCATTATTTGTATTACGTTACAAGTTTACAATTACATGGAATAAAACCGGAAAGGCTTTTAACACAAAACCTTTTCGTATCTGGGAGTGTAAAAAGCCCGGAGCATTTTATTTTCATTAACTTGACCTGCCTTTAATATTATTTGATGTTTGCTTTATCAAAACGTCTAACCATCGCGCTATAAACATCATGCTTGTGAGAGACTGTGTAAACAAGGCAGATGTTTTCAAAGCCAGATTCACACTCGACAACAAATTTCGGATGAATGATTGGTTTTCCTATAAAGACAACATCAGTACTTACTATTCAATATTTTCATTACTATATATTAAATAGTCTGGTATAATTATTAGTGGATCATAACACTATCAGCTTTTATTTTTATATTTATGCTTTCTATTTATCGTATTTTTTTTTCTAGTGTGATATATCCACTTGTTGACGACCTTTTTTCATTTAGTGACAACGAAGAAGAATAAGACGTTAGTGTTATTATCTCTATATTTTTTGCATGATGTTTATTTCAGTCGCGAAGTTGTTCAGTCTTGTACAAATCTTCCGCCAGTCGTATCTAATAAAGGTACTGTCCAGTGTTTAACACCAATTTAATGTTTTGTATCGTTTCTACCCGAATACATTTTATCGACAATGTGACTTTTTGCATTAATGTGTTTCTAATATAGATAATTGCTATTTACCATGAACAATTTGATTCTAGTGATTAATTTAGTTACAAGTGAGATTAGTATTCCTAAGATCATTTAATGGAATATACAACAAGAATCAGTGAAAGGTATGTATGAGTCCAAACACTAAAAGTACAAAGAAGATGGTGCTGGTAACATTAGTTATTTGAAAACAAGTTACGGTTTCAAGTACGAAATTGTTTACATCATTAAGCAATACATTTAATTTATTGTATTTATTAATGTAAAGACTTTCGGCTAGGTTCGATTTATAGGTTTTTGGTAATTCCTTTAAAATTTGAAAATTATCATTAACTGTGTGTCAGAATCAGCTTTCCCATTAGTATAGCTCCTCCTGTGTTCAGTAAACCTTTGATTGAAGGATCTCCCTGTTTGTCCAACATAATCATACATAGATTACAGTCCCCACATTCGAGTAAATAAATTCCTGATTTTGATCCTCTATCAGTTTTATCTTTATTATGTTTTATAATTTTAGCTTGCTAATGTTTAGGTGAAACAATTGTTGTAAACTATTAATATGTATTCAAACTTTGAAACTTTTTTACTTTCATTCCCTTTAACCGATAATGGAGATTCAACAAGTAACGCCTTCTACCATTGATTAATTATGCATCTCTTTGAATGGCATAAATTTCAAGACTTTCAGAACTCTTCATGATACGTCTCTTTAGCTAAAAAAAATTCACACTGAGTACCTTTAATATAATGAAAGTTTCATATGAAGTTAATTTATCAAAAAGTAGTACTGAGAATGGCAACAGTTACATTAGTTCATTCATAAATATAATTATCATTTTTAAATGAAGGATGCATTAAAATTAAAAAAAAACAAACATAAAATAGAAAATCTAATGTTGGACTCGGGATTGGTAATTAAGATAATAATCAAATTTTATTAGTGTAATTACACAGAACAATTGCACTCGGGTAGACTCCAGGTAATAGAACATTTTACACTCGGCCAGTAAATAGATATGTTACGGTAAATGTACACTCTCGGGAAATGTACACTTTTACCGTAAAATGTGTACATTTCCCAAGAAGTTAGGTATATGTGAACTGAATATAATGTATATGTACATTTCCCTGCAAATGTGTACTCTTGCCTTCACGTTTTGGTAAATATATACCTACTCTTACCTTCATGTTTTAAGAAAAGTTAGAATACAAATAAATTAAAAATCTTGTTGCAGTAAAAAAATATTTATTTAAATAAAAGCTGTTCATTCGCAAACTTTTAGACTTTTTTATCATATTATTTAATATTAATGGTACAAAATCTTCTGNAAGTTTGTGTAAAAGATTATGAGTTCTTTTTTAAAAAACTAAAGTTCCAAGAAGAAACCAAAACTCTAGCTGCCCAGCCTGTACAGGCTTCGTTCTGTCAAAAGACATTGATCTGTCGCAGTCCAATAGAAAATACATAAAGAAGAGAAATGAAAATTCAACCCAGAAAATGTCATATATAGAGGAGGAAATGATGGCATAATATACATTAGAAATTGTATTTTATTTGATAACAGGCAAACGTTTTTTTGGTTCGAACTTTATTTCCGACAGGCATAAATTAATATTGATACAGCCTAATCAAGTTGAAGACATACCAAAAATAATTCTAACACGCCTTTGTTTTGTTTTGATTAACGTCAACTGTTTGACAGCTGGGTACAGATGTGGTTTATACGGAAAAAAGTGAGATTTTTACGTTTTTCTGGGCAATTTTTCCAATTTTTCTTTTCGTAAGAATCTTCCTCGGACTTAGAATCTTAAAAAAAAATTATCGAAAGTGGTCCAGCAATTCTCGAGTTTTGCGCTTAGCAACACATTTAGCGATCAATCTTTATATATGTAGATTATTATCTTTTGTGAGCAATGAAACTCCGAAATTAATACCAAATGAAATTATTCCTGTAACGAATTTGGGCCACACTGTATAGTCAATATTATTAGCGAGCAATTCAACTGTAGTAGAGCTCGAACTTTTATGCAATCGTTGTATGAGATATCGAGCAAAGTAGTGAAAGAATGGTGCCGGAATTACGGGAACAAGCGTCTCTGGAATGAGACTAAATAGCTCCGGGAGTTCGGGATGACGATGACGAGACGACGCTATCGACGAGAGACGGGACGCTACGCGACGCGGCGTGGCGCGGCACGAACAGAAAATTGGCACTTCAGTCATACCAAACTGGAATTCAGTGAAATAACAAGCTGCAATTGCCTTTTTAAATTGAATCGCACGAATGAATCGAACGACTTTAGGTAAAACTGGAATGGATATTCCTCATTATTTTCCGGGACAAAAAACCATTCAGACTCACTACGACTAATTCGCTTTTAGCATTTGCAGAACAAAAGAAACAGATCTACTTTGCTCTGTTTCAATAGTATGCGCGCAGAAATAGGGAAAACTCTTGGAAGGGTTCTATAGTTGGGAAGTTCAAAATTGGCATAGTTCGCAATAAAACTGTCGCATTTAGTTCTTTCTTTCAACTTACTAACTAGACTAGAGCGGTTGGTAACAGAACGGCTATTTTTACTCATGACAGACGTTATAGGGAATCACGTAAACAGAAAAGAGATGACAGGTAGGAATTGTAGCGGATCTAATAAAGAAAAGGGAATAACATTTCACCAATTGATGTGTAATAGAAAGAGATGCGGATAAGTAGTGTTTGAGCATGTCAACATCGGACTTTAAAGAAAGTTCAAATTCTCAGGAATTTAGGGCAGCAAAGATGCTTTGTTTAAAGATATAATTCCAACTAGGCAGTTACAAAGCCGACCCTGATTTTTGCGTACCTAACCAACCTCTAACCGCTGTACCGCTTACTATTATTTGGTTATCTCTTTCAGTGTTCACAACCTGAAGCTAGGCAACTATCGTACCAGTAGCGTAGAATTATCGTATATGGAGCAAAATTATCGTACTTACTATAATCACTATAATTAATAAATTACTCGTATTAATCGTGATATCAATATTTCTGCGTATGTTTCGTAACTAATTTGTACTTATAAACTATTTACAATCTTTTTTAACTATACTCTTTACATTTGAGACAGACCTGAACTACCCCCACCCTTTAAATTAAAAATGAATNTTTCAAAATAATCACTATAATTAGTAAATTACTCGTATTAATCGTGCAAAAAAAAAAGACAGACCTGAACTACCCCCACCCTTTAAATTAAAAATGAATAATAGATAGAAAAATACTTAAATATAACAAGATACAGGGAGTGGAGGTATGTTAGTAGGGTGTTTTTAATCTTAGGCTATGTTTAGTGACTACATGACTACAATCACAAAATTGTGGATGGGAAGACCATTGACCCATCTGGTGACCAACACGAAGGGATTTTACCTGCCGAGAAAAAATCTACACACTAGCATGATAAGGTTCTTTTGTTGCAGGCACGTTCTTCTAAACTTAACACTGCGAATTACAAAAATGTTTATAGCGCTGTGAGCAAAAAGAAAAAAAATATTCGCCCATAATAAAAAAAAAGTTTTCCTGATATTGTCTGAGAGGATAAGAATAACATAAATTTTGAATTCATGAAAATTATCGTACAATCTTCGTACGATAATAATATGATATCGTACATCGTACGTAGACATGAAATTATCGTATGTGTACGATAATTATCGTACGGTTCCGAACACTGATCTCTTTTCACTTTGTATGTACTGTACATGAAGCATTTCCTAACTTAAGTGGGACGTGTTCAGAACGTAGCAAATGACTACGCTCCCAAATGGAATCAAAAAGGAAGATATGTCTATTCCAGCGTTGCCAGTCTGTACGATACGATAATTATGGGGATTAATACGACGTACGATACCGTAATTCAAATTTTTTTAAACATACGATAATTTGTGCTTATGGTATAAAAAATATTTTCAAATAGTAATATGTAGTGGGACTATGATATTTGTTTCTGCCAACCTGTTGTCTTGTTTTTCTACATTCTTAAAATTGTTTGTTAATAGAACAAATGGTCATTTGAACAGTATCTGGGTATATATTCCATAAAAATACAAATTCTCTCTAATTTACAACAGAGCCGGGCAAACTCGGCTCTTTTGGTTTGTCGAAAGCTTCTCAGGTAGATCCTAAGAACTTCTCCTTGCTAAACTGGCGACGGTTAACGGGCTTTTACTTACAAGTCAGTGTGTTGAAATGAATAGGGGATGCAATAAATTTGACATCACTGATGAAATGTTATCTCGTTTTAATTCAAATAATGGTCATTTGAACAGTCTCTGGGTATTTTCACTCCATAAAAATACAAATTGTCTCTAATTTACAATAGAGCCGGGCAAACTCGGCTCTTTTATCCTCGAAAGCTTCTTAGGTAGATCCTAAGAGCTTCTCCTTTCTAAACTGGCGACGGTTAACGGGCTTTTAATTAGAAGTCGGTGTATTGAAATGAATAGGGGATGCAATAAATTTGAGATCACTGATGAAATGTTATCTCGTTTTAATTCGANCACTATATGCATAGATATATAAATATATGTCGGGAAGTTGTTTTTTGTATACATTCAATAAAATTTAATTGTTTATGGACTTTTTTTCAAAATGTTTAAAATCAAAATCCAGTCCGAAATTAATTTTTCTATTTGAAGTTATTAGTCTGTCAGGAAAGCTTTTGTAGTGTCATCTATTGATGGTATAATAGAACTGAGAAAACCACGGGGGTACACACTCTCTCTTTACAAATTCATACTCCCACCACTAGACTATTATTCCGATGCGCATGCGCAGTAACGTACGATATTTTTTAGATTAATACCATAATTTTTCCTAAAGAGTGCGATAATTCTATCTACTGAACCTGGCAACGCTGGCCTATTCCTACAAATAATGTATTTCTGCGAGCAAAGCCGCGGGGAAAAGCTAGTTATTATATAAAACTTCCGAATCGCGGCTTTTTCGAAAATGTAACTTTTTTTTGCTGAAAATGAATTAAAAAATGTCTAATTAAGAAAGACACATGAAACAAATTTTATTCGGCAATAATACTACCGTACATTTATATTTAACATTCATCGGCATAATCTGCAGGATTCTTCCTTTTGAATTGCTGATGGTAATACGGTAATATTCTTCTAGCGGCGACATACATTATAAGAGGTGGTGCAACGTAAGGAAATTCTTCAATAAAACGTCTAATGCTGTTAGCAATTTTACGCCCTTTCTGTGGGTAGGTTTGTAATTCGAAGGGCGAAAGCTTCCATACCACAATGTTTCGTATAAAGTACAAATCTCCAAAATGTAATCCCATTTTTTAATAATTGAATTAAACCTGCAACTAATATTACACTTCGTTACTTCTGAAAAGACTTACTAACATTTGACAGGTATTTCACTTGTTTGTTTTGTAATATTTGTCCACATAGAAGTTGACAACATACTTCGATCTATAGCGTTACGGCATATGCAATTGGTATCATATATATATATATAAAAATGAATGTTTGTCTGTATGTCCTTTATAGAATCGTAAACTATGCATTTGATCATGTGATGATCTTTGGCAAAGTTGTTGTGCATGAACCAAAGAAGGTTTTGAGTTGGTACGACCAATTTTCGACAGGAAAAACAAGAAATATTGTGTATCCCACAGCACTTCAATAAATATTGAATTGAAACGAAACGCTGCAATATCACAATTTTATCGAAATCAATAAAATCAATAAAGTGACTCAAAATGAATTGAATATCTGTGCAATGTCTTTCCTTCAAATTTATTTTAGATTACAAAAAAATTAATCTAAAGCGAATAGATTTGCAAAGTGTCACCAATAGTTCACCATCATCATCGCCACAAGATTTTCAGTCCTAATACTGAATCCACTTATTCCTATCCTGAGTTAATCTTTGCATTTCCCTAAAACTGAAACATTCCACATCCTCAATTATTTGTGAACAGGAATCTAATCTAGGTCTACCTCTATTCCCTTTAACTTTTGTTTATGCCCCTAATATATCTCTAACTAGCCCTTCAACTCTGAGAAAGTGTCTTACTTACCTATCTCGCCTATTTCTTATTGACTTCCGTAACACCCTCCTATTTTTTCTAATACCTCCTCAGTTTTAACCTTTTCTATCCTCGATATCCTCATCATTTTCCTGTAATACCACATTTCGAACTCTTTTAACCTTTTCTTTTCCGCTACGCCCACCGTCCATGTCTCGCATTCGTAGAGCGCCACATACATAGTTCTTAGCTACGCGTCTGCCATAAGCTGTGGTTTCCTAGGATAGAGATGCCGTAATAGAGCGGTTATCATAAGGCGCTACCATTGTTATGGTATATTTTCGATTTTAGTTACATTGTGGGAATGTTAAATGTAAATAGCCGCTATAATGTTCAATGCCAATACCAGCTATCGTCTTTGTTGGCCCCATGGTAACGGAATAGTATACGGATGGGATTATAAACTATAGACACAAGGGATAGAGGAGTAAATAATTCAGGAGCTGTCAAGAAGACCGCCTTACTTTTTTTCTGGTAATAATAGTAACTTGGTAATAGCAGTAACCTTGCAGTGCAGGCTACTACTAACAATCGTCACACGTGCAACTGACCTGTCTGTGTACCAGCAGTTGCGAAGGTTACGAATAGGTATGGGTGTTTCGTCGCTTGACATTTACGATAACTAAAGGCGATAAGATAACGCTGCTGTCAAACTAGAAACTGCTCTCACTCATTGATAGCTCGTTAACTGGAGTACTCCTTGTTCATGCTTTTCACATCCTCCACGTTGTGGCGCTATCACAAGATGAACTGTACACTGCTTCCAATTACTGACCAGACATAGTGTATTTTTGTATCTGAATACTATTAATTAAAAAATTAATTAAAAGTTTCTCTTTTATATAAGTGTTTCTATCAATTTTACGGGAATGGATAAATACAAATGTGGTGATGCGATGGGATGATATCAAACCACAAATAGTAACTCTTCTTGTACAGAAAGTAAGAATTCCTTGTAAATGTTTGTTTAACAACAAACCGCTACAATGATAAATTAACTAATGCGAAATGCATGCAAGTGTAAGTCGGGTTCGAACATTTGGTACTAATATTACATATAAAGGAAAGATTACGTGGAATGTAGAGCAATTATATCTCAATACAACACTCATTTGTGTTTAAAAGTTATGAAAGTAATGACATTCATGCTAGCTTTATCGCAATTCTCGAATATTCCAACCATAAATGACTCCTGACAACTTACAAGTATTAATGAATTTGAAAAAAAAAGAGAATATAATTACACTATGCAGTGTAATTCGTAAACTAGGTTTAGAAACGAAATCAAGCAATTGCAGGTCGTAACTGAGTCCGTATCCGAATGGATTCAACTTCGTCACATTGGCCGCGGAAATGAATTGCAAACATGAAAAGTGAGTTAGGATCGTAAACTGGCATATCGCAGATTTTCGTTCCACAAACAAAATTTCCATAACGCTTTAAAAGCTCCTGTGGGCTTATGGAATCTCGTAATGGAAAAATATTCGCGCCTAGATGCTGAAATATGTGGGTTTGTTGTCGTTAGGGTTCATTGATTAAACTGTGCTACGTTTAAAAGTTTTCACAATTTTTTTACCTAATAGTTGGTTAGAAAATAATAGAAACGCGAATTAAAGTAAGTAGGTACATAAATAAGGTGGTTTCTAAGGTATGGGCTGCAGTTAAAAATTGATATTCGTACATTCTTCTTGTGCAATACCTATATTCAGGAAGATTTAATAATGAATAATATTGAAAATTCCTGAATGGTTAAATAATAGAGAACAAAGGTTATAAACAATGTTTTGTTTTGAATACGACGCTTTGCTCATTTACACATTTTCTAGTAAATTAAATTGATAACTGATACTCTCCTGATTCGGGTCTAAAGGCCGTCGTCGGTTGGAGATGCTTCCTAACGTAGTGATCTTCTTCAGAGTTTCATTCATCTCTGATGATGGGTACGGATAACATCAGTTCTACCAAATTTTTCAATCGATAACATTTATTATTTCAATGTATTATTTTTATGTCCTTGTTTATTTTATATGGTTGTTATTAGTACTTTAATACAAACAACAAAAATATATTGTATTCAATTTTTATTCTGTTAATTACAAAGACTTTACTTTCGAGACTTTACAATAAACCACATTCATTATATTCGATATAACATAATGGTGTTATGCAATTTTCTTCATTGCTACTTCACGAAATCATCCTATGATGGATTTTCGGAATTTACCTGAAATCCTTAGGTCAAACCTTGGCGTTCTACACCATGATAATTCATTTAAGTTCCTTATTGTGGAAATGGATAAAAGCGAGTATCAGACTGACTACTTCTTTCCTTGTTTAGCTTTCTCCTTCTTCTTTTTCTCCTGTTCTCTTATTTTTTCAGCCTCCTTATTGAATATGATCCTTATCTTACCAATAAGTGTTTTGTTAAATACTTTTTGGAACTTTTTCCATTCTTTGTCGTTTACTGGTTCGGGGGCTATTGACCATAATGACTCCAGTAACTCAATTTGCTCCAAAGGCTTATAACTAAGTTGAACAATTCTGGCGGGTACTAACGTCTTTTCAACAGCTTCCTTTATTTCCGGATAAGGATAATATAGTGATGATAATGTTAAGCAGGATAAATCGATATTACGGTCGACTCCATGGTAAGGCATCAGAAAACTTCTCCAGTACATAAAGACGTTGTTGTAATCAGTTCGTGGAATAAAAATGAATTTTTCATAGGTTTTCTTTATCTTGGGCGCTCCTCCGGCCCATGGTTGATTAGTAATACCAAGTACTAAAACTCTATCTTGTGGCGTAATAGCTTTAACTATTTGTTTTGTTAAAATTTTTCCTAATTTCTTAGGCTCAAATTCTCTCTCTGGCTTAGGTACCTTTTTATAGAATGGCTTCTCCCCACCATCAATGAAAAGGATGCTAGGTGAGACTGCACGTGCAACGGCTAGAAGAGTTTGAGGAAATTTCTTCTTGAAATCTTTACCTTCGTATTTGCCTGCTAATATAGGAGCGGAAAGGTCAAAAAGAACACACTGTGTATGATTAAAGATGGCGTTTGCTAGCAGATGTTTTCCACACTTCCTAGGACCAATTATTAGAACAGACTTTGGTCGAATCATTTCATCATTTTCCAGTGGCCTCTCAAAATATTCAAGACCAAGAGGAAGGATACAGTGTAAAGCAATAAGGTGTCTTACTTCGGCCATACAAGGAGGTGGATCGTAATCCATCTGTCGCAGATCCCAATTTTTGTAACTAAAGTCCCCTTTGAAATCTTCTAAACTTTGTTGGGGATACAAACGGATGATTCCATTGTCCCAAAGTTCTTGAAACATATCTTCAATTGTTCGAGCGCCTTTCTTCCCTTTCTTTCCTTTCTTCCCTTTTCCTTTTTTGTTTTTAGGTGCTTTATACTTTTTCTTTTTATCTTTACACCAAGCCTGTTTTAGTAGTTCTAATTCTAACCTCATCATTTCATCCACGTTTTGGCGAACTTCCAATTGCACTTCATAACATTTCTCGTCTGTGATTATATCCATGTAGTGAATCTGCTCTGGATTTTCTTCGAACGGTCGTGGATCCCATAACTCTTTCCATTCCCCGATGCTATCCTTAAAACGTTGTTCCACCCCCATCTTTTCAAACTTAAATTTGAAATCCATAGGTCTCATTTGCGCTCGACGCCTTGCTTCGGCCTTTTGCTTCTTTTTCTTTTTCTCTTGTTCCTTTTTCTTCTTCTCTTCTGCTTTCCGTTTGAGTTTCTCCTGTTTCTCCTTTGCCTTTAGTTTCGCTTTATCGCCCGCTTTGGTCTTTTCCCTCCTTTTTTTTTCGACGTCGTCTAAGAACTCCTTTGGTGTCATGGTTTCACCTTTTACAATAACAATCGACCCTCCTACCTTTTCAGGAGGGTATTTGTCGAACATTTTGATTTCATCATACCAGAAATGAAACCACGCTCGTATTTCATCGCCTATGTCCTCAAATAGACCTGGAGCAACCACTCTAAGTATCCTGTCTCTCTCATCAACAATCGCTTGGATATAATTTTTATAATGCTCCACACGAACAGCTCTTCTGTCTGCTCTCGTTTTTTCTAATTTAATCTTGTATTCTTTAGATCTCCACGATGGTTCAGTCATTCCTATGAGTAGTTGCCTCTCCTCTTCTCTCCTTTTAAGTACTTTTCTTACTTTATGCGATCTCCATACTTTTTGAATGGTTGTCGCGGCTGCGTCTAGAAATTCTGGATCTGGTTCAGCTTCCTTTTTCTTTTCTTTTTGTGCCTCTCTTAATCGTTTTAGCATATCTAATTCGTTTACATACAGACGCGTCTGACGACCTCTTTCAGCAGTCTGAAGTATTTGGACAGCTTCCGTTACCATTTTTGCTCTTGCTAAAGCTGCCTTCTCTTCTTCCGTTAACACTGGTTCCGGTGGAACGAAAGGTTTTGGTTTCTCTTTCTTCTGCCTTCTTTTCTTTTTGCCTTCCTCTCCTTCTTCTGGTTGCTTTACTTCAGCCTGTTCTGATTGCTCTGGTTGCTTCACTTCTTCAGCTTGAGCTTCCGGCGGAGGAAGTTCTGTTCCTTCAATTACGGCTTCATCTGTCTGAGTGCCAGTTTCAGCGTCCGCGGGTGGTGGAGGCGGAGGCGGTTCATAGATTCTTTCACCGTCTTGTAGTTTTTTAAACAAGGCTTCCATGTTAGGATCGTGTGGAAAACACATGTATGGATGCAAGATTTCAATTTCAGATGGCACTAATTTCATTTCGATTAACGTGTCGTCGAAATAGTGATATTCCGAAATATCAATGTCTACGAGTAAATCCTTTAACTCTTTTAGTCTCATAATTGCTGCATCCAACATCTTACGAATGGTGAACATCTGCTGTGGTTGAAGCAACTGATCAGCACACGCGTCTATTTCTTGGACTAGAAGGCAGTATTTTATGTAAACACCACCAACCAGTTTATTGGCGAGGTTTCTTTTCTTTATATCTTTTGCTGATTTTGTTATGACATTATCCTGCTCAATTAAGTTATTATACCTTTTCTTTGTATCTATCCACCATTTTATGTACGATTCGTTAGACATTGTGAAGTGTTTATTGGTTCACTTGTGCTTTTGATTTTAATAATTTTCACCGTTTATGGGTTTGATTTTTGTTACTCAAACTACTAAGAATTTTGACAAGAAATTATGACATGCAAAAATTATAAAAGCTTCAATGGCTGTCTCAAAATGTTTGTATGCTTATTTAATAAAGAATAATAATGATTTTCCCGATACACAGCTTAATATAGGTACATCTAATAATAAAATAGATTTTTCGCAAGGAATAAGTTACAGATTTCATTATTAAACTGAAATATCAAATGTCAACGCCTGTTTGGCTCAGGTTCATGAATTTTTTATGAGCTGCTGTGTGTATATGCGCGTATGTATTTGTGTATCGGAAGATAGGTTGCGGCGAAAGAGGTTATTGTGCGAATTTGGTTATTTATTACAACATAAAGGTATCAGTGTATATCTGCCGCAGAACTTATGAAGATGAATGACCGAAGGGGTGCGGATAGCGTCCAGAATGGAAAATATTATCGAAATATTGCCGATGGTTTGAGGAACAAAGCAAGCATTCGAAATCAAACGGCCTCGCCGGACAAACAAAATTTAAAAAGGATTCAAGAAAATACCTCTGCACGTATAAATATAAATAGATGTAACACTTCACATCTATAATTCACACATCTTCATCATCGCATAAAGTCGTCAGTTCGAAAATTGGTTGGATAGGATGCATATCCACTCTTTCGGGTCCTAAGCCAATTTTTGCGCAGAGAAATCTAATTTAGGTTTTACTCTGCCCATCTTTATTCCTGATTTTGTTTCTAATATGTCTTTAAGTAATCCTTCATAACGTCCTTTGTTGTAGCCCAAACGTACATCCTTAACAATCTTTTTAGAATTTCTAAATTAAATATTTGCGAGCATAGTAATGATTTCCTTTCGTTAAAAGCGATTCTACTCTGCCCTATCTTGTTTTTTGCAAACCAGAATTTTTGTTTTATTTTTATATATTTTCATACAATACTGTTTTGTCAGTACCGCATTCATTTTATTTAAAGCTATGTCTAACTCCTCCTTGCTAGATGCGAATACCGCTATATCATCTGCAAATCTAAGCATACTAATCTTTTGCCCCTGTAAATCTATCCCTACAGTTGTATTGTCTTTAAGGATGTATAGATTAAAAAGTAGCGGTGATAGTATGTATCCCTGTCTGACTCCTTTCCTAATAGTTACTTCTCTATGTTGCAGCCCCAGCTCTATAACTGTCTGTAGCTCTTTATAAAAACTAAGTATCACTCGTCTATCTTTGTAACTCATCTCTACCTTCTTAAGAATATTTTAATAAATAGTATATCATGAAATATTTCCATTCATAGTGAAAATGGTAGATAGTGAACGACGATGTAGTGGACTTCTTTCAGTACAAGTCAGAAATGGCGTTATCACCATGTTGCCCATGTAGACTCCCTGATTACGTGTTCTTATCGAAATCTTGTCATATCACCCATACATCACATCACTTACCATACTTTAAATGCACGACGGGAGTTACTTTCGTTATCTTTAGTGACCATTTCGTGGAACAAAAATAATTACTGAAGAAGCTCAATTTACAGAAAAACTGAAACAGTATTGGCGATCATCATGTCAAAAAATGTAGGATGAAACACGTTTATAGTAGACAAAATGGTATCAAATCGTGTAGACATACAATTTCATTTCTGACTATTTCTCCAAAGTATTTTTTGAAATTCCTTAAGATGCGAGAGGTAGAATTAATATTGACTCATTTCTGAATTAACATTAGATAATTAGGTATAATACATAAGGTGGTAGATAGTTCCATCATTTTTACACTCGTTTTAACGATGTTAATTAAGTATCGCTGCTCCGAAAATAGAAATTTGATTGTTACGACGGTCATGAAGCGCAATCTGAAGTGGTAATAATAAGAAGGAGGAAACAGAAGTCAAACGAAGTCCATTTATAATAACACCTTTTCTGAATTTGATAAACTTCAACGTCTCGTGAAACGTAGGTACATGGAAGATGGCTACCATTAATCCCAGAAGTAATAAACTCCGGTATATATCTGGAGTATCACGGACGATTTCTCTTGCAATTTTCCGTCTCTGTCTGGAGCGCCACTTAAAAGTCTTTTGTTGTTCGAGTTCATTTCTTAGAAAGGGCCGGAAAATAATTTAAAATGTTCCCTGCAGAACTCACTTTATTACGTGTAATTTGGCTTCATTGTTTCCTTTCGAATTTATCCGCCGGACTAAGAGCAATGAACATTAAGCGCAGCCATTCTAACCCGAATTACTGATAATACGGAACGTTTTATGTTTAACGCACGTCTTTATGATTCGATATTTCTTAGCTCGTTCATTAGGACAAACAGCCGGCAAACGGTGCTACTTATAACGTTCACTGGGTGCGCTGTACGATTACAGTTTGATTCAATGACGACATACATAATCACCGCGAACGATTGGACATAAATAGAAAAGCTGGTTATAATGACCGCAAAGGACAAGCACAATCAAATCAATAATTGATTGATAATTAGAAATGGCGTTCACTACGCCAAATTTGTTATTAATTGTGGAATTCAGTACTCTTTGTTAAGGTCCTTTCTGATCAAGGATATTGAGTTATTAAACTGAATTAACGTCGCTAGTAGAGGAGCTATCTGCATAGTCGGTAATTACTTGCAATTATTAAGTTTTTGGCATAAGGGGATTGTGATTTTGAGCTCATTGATTCCCATCAGCACGCTGCCGTCATACAGTGTTCCGACAGATAACCGACAAACCCACTTGCTGTTATTAAACCGCGTTTATGTAAAGAAAATTTACCACAAATTGTAGGATCCAATAGTGTTTTAAATTAATTGACACGTCGATATCCTGAATTGAAAAAGTCCTTGTCAAACATTGTTGATTTAGGTTTTGATGGGAATTCTCCCTTAAAATCGTCCCTGGTTTGTCGTACAATAACTCGAATACTCAAACTGGCGTTGTTTTCTGTTAATTGTAAAACGATTTGTGTCAGTACCGACTTGTCGTTTTTACTTGGCATTACCCCCTCAGTGGGGTATCACACATTCTGTATAATGCCGTTACTGAACTCGCATTGTACTGTCCATATATGGGTACCATTTCCGCATGTTCTACGAGCGAATACATTGCTTTTTGCTTGATATTGTCAAAATAAACTTATTCTTGTATTTTAAGACTATAGCAGTAACTTTGTTAAATGAACGATAACCATGGAGTGCAATTGACCTGTCTACGTACCAGCAGCTGCGAAGGTCACAGCAGCCAACCTGGCGAATATTCTCAATCACGAGATGCGCTGTATAGTGCCTCTATCAGATGTTAGGTGATCAAACATACTGTATATAAAAAATAACATGTAAAATTAAAAATACACTGAAACATCATAATTATCGCAAATTTCTGTATTAACAGTCGGATATATTGTAAATTAATGGATAAGGGATATGGAGGTCAATGTATTCTTGTAAGTGGTACAGCATTAAAATTATGTATAGGTATAGGTAAACCCACATACATCAACCGTGTTGTTAACGGAAGGATTCCTTTGACATTTAATAGTGGTTAATATCAAATATTAATGTGAAAATTCATTTTGAATTCTTTGACCACTTGACCACCATCACTATAAACTACTTCAGGTTAATGAGGGAAACTTTGTTGCTCTTGTCACATCCTTGCCGGGAATCGAACTCCACTGCTTTGGGTTTACCCACCAATGCTTTAACGACTAAGTTACGAGATTTTCCCTCATTAACCTGAGGTAGTTCATAGTAGTTAAATAATTAAAAATTAATTTTCACATTAATATTTGATATTAATCACTATTAAATGTCAAAACCTTTCATAGTTTCAATATCACGTTGGTTCGACAGATCTGTGACCTAATAAGTACGGTTTGTCGATGTTGCTGATATCATCTCTCGTAGCTTAGTGGTCAGAGCATTAGTGCGTAAAGCCAAAGGCCCCGGGTTCGATTCCCGGCGAGGGTGTGACAACGGCAATAAATTATCCCTCATTAACCTGAAGTAGTTTATAGCGGTCAAAAAATTTAAAATGAATACTCAAATTAATACTGGAAATAATCTTTACAGAAAATACTACAATGGCGCAGTAAAAACTAAATGCTACATTTTAGGATTACGTATGCTCCAACAAGGTCCACTTGTGTGGATATCTACTTGCTGAAAACGAATCCCGGCGTAGCCAACCACAAACCACTTCGAATTATTTTATTCGATTAAGCTAACGTTGAGGTTGGCTACGCTGGGATTCGTTTTCAGCAAGTAGATATCCACACAAGTGAACCTTGTTGGAGCATACGTAATCCTAAAATGTAGCATTGTGCTACAGATGGCGTTTACTGCGCCATTGTAGTATTTTATAAAACGCACTGTTAAGACAGCAGGTAAAAGTTGGTCTGTGTTCTGTCGGAGCTGCTTGCGACGCGCTGATGAGATCCAAAAAGATCGAAATCGCGATCCGAGTCTGGCAGTTTCGACAGAATACAGACCACTTCGAATTATTTTAATCTTTACAGATTTTATTAACTCTTCTCCTACCATAGTTCACTCTCAATCTCGATATTTGCTGTAATGCTACACCTCGCTGTGTTGCATAAAGTTCTGTTTTAAAAAAAAAGTTAATTCTCGCTTCTTAGCACAAAATGGAAACCGACTTTAGTTAGGTATCCTTGCTTACCCCATTAACTATTGTTTTTACCCTAATATCACAGTTTCTAATTTATATAATTCCATCGACGAGCAGTGCCTTTTATGCCATATAAATGACCGTATTTGTACCCATGTGTTTGTGACTAAATGAAACTATTTTCAATTAACGCCGCTTTTATAATAAAATAACATGTCATAGTGCTCACATGGTTGGAATTATGCTGTCAACATTAAATAAGCGCACCTGTCTGTCAAATTTTCATGGTTTTGGCCGTTCGATGGCCGTAATCAACCTAATTTTATCGTGCCTTTATATGAGCACATGTTCTCCTTTTATGCAAATATTTGAATATATTGAAGTGTGAGTGACTACAAAGCAAAAACAATTTCAAAAATAGACTACAATCAATAAAAAAATTTGCATTTACTAGAACATTTTTATTTCTTTGAAAGGTCATAAAAAAACATAAT